ACGGACTCGCTCGAACCCTTGGAACGCCCGAAAAAACATTAAAACTAAGAATCACACCCAAAACTAATTGAATCAAACTTATGAACTTCATGTTCTTCAATCTACTTCCAATGTGCCGAAACGTACTTATACTACTCAGAATGATACCACATTTTGCGTGCAAGTCTTAAATGACATTATGAAACTATTCCCAGTCTCGAAATTCCGTTCGGACCTCGATATCACAAAAACTCGCTCCAAACCAAATTTAAAGAACTTTGAAATCTTAAAGAATCAACTTTCACTATTAGGCACCAAAGCGCTCCTGGCTCATTCAAAACCCGATCTAGACATACGCCCAAGTCCGAAATCATCATACGAACCTGTTGGAACCGTCAAATCCTGATTGCAAGGTCGTGTACTAAAAATGTTGGCCGAAGTCAAACTTGGCCTTTCAGGCCAACCTTAAGGAACCAAGTGTTCTGATTTCAACCCAAACTCTTCCAAATCCTGAACTAACCATCCCCGCAAGTCATAAATCAGTAAAAGCAAGTACGAGAAGTCTTATTTAGGGGAACGGGGTTCTAGAAAGCAAAACGACTAGTCGGGTCGTTACAGTTATAGTGATTTGTTGTTACGCACTTAAAATAAAATTTGATATTTAAGTTTTATTTGGCTGTTATAAATAAAAATTACCCTAAAAGTCATTTTTCAAAAAAATTTATGTTACAACAGTTTATTTAAATTTGAAATTGCAAAAGGAATAGCTTGAAGTTTAGACCCATATATGACATGAATGATAATGAATAAATGGCAAAAATAACTAAAGGACTGTAAAGTGGAATGTGCGGAAATAATGGAAGAATTCGAAATGTCCCGTTCTATATGCACATGAGGTTTGACGTTCCAAATTCCTTATTTAATTTGAACTTACCAAAAAATTTAAACTTATATTTTCAATAAAAATATAATTAATAAATTATTTTTTGATTATATAACATAATATATAAATATTTGTGTATATAAAATTGTCATAGAGATGCAATTTTGCAAAGAGGTGTATTGTTATAATGATGTTGTTAATAACATAAGTGAAAGCTTATTATAAAGAGGTAAAATTTATCTTAAAATCAATTAAAAAGAATTTGCTTGTTATAGAGAGGTCTAATATACTAAAGAATAAATATTATAATATTATATGAGTATTAGTTGGAGTAATATATGAAGTTAAAAGTTTAGGTAATTATAAGAAAAATAACTTCTGCCAATAAGTGAGAAAGTAACCTTTTCTGTTTTGGTATGTATTTGTTATGAAAGATAAATATTTCCCAGAAAAAAGTTTTTCAAAATATTTATGGCTTTAGCCTAAGATGTTAAAAAACAAATTAGCCCTTAAGAATAATGACCACACAGTTTAACTGATAACCCTAGACCTATAGGGCATCCCTTTTCCTGTTTTCTTCTGTTTTTTCTTCTTTAAACGGGTCACGATTATATTGTCACTTTTGAGGAGAGTACATTTGAATGAAGAAGTAAGATACACTCAAGCCTTCTTTACAAAATACAAGGTGTGAGCGAAATAAGACAAGTTAATCACTAATTCTAACTAACTCTTCTTCAAAACACCAATAAAAGGTGGCAATAGAGCAATTACTTAAAGGTAGCTCAGAAGCCTACTTCAATAGTGCCTTTTCGGGCACAAAATACCTTTTTACTGTTAAAAAAAAGTTACATAACTACATAATTCGCAGTATAATACTGCGAATTACTTTAACGAAAAGTTAGCCGTTAAAGTGATTCGCAGTATTATACTGCGTATTATTAAAAAAATAATATTTTTTGATAAAACTCAGTACTATACTGCGATCAACACAATTCGCAGTATAATACTACGAATCGCTTTTAAATTTGGGCCCACCAATAAGTGCTCTGCGGATAACTGACATAACAATAATTCAAATTGATAAAACTCAGTATTGTACTGCGATTTATACATAAAAATTTTGCATACCAAGCTCGGACTTGCCTTATTTAAAGGCGTTTGAATTTTATGAAAATCCATTCAAAACTCTCCTTCAAACTGCCATTCATACTTCTCTCTTCTTCTTATCAATCATTTTTTTATAATGTCAGAAGAGCCAAAAATAAGGATTTTATTATATTGGGGGGGGGGGGGGGGAGGGTGAAGTTGTGCTGGAGAATAACTCTGTGAGGTATAGCTCACCTCCACAGTGTCATGTTAAATTGCCGCTTACAATGGAGTACGATAAATTGGTATCGTTGTTATGTAAAAAAATGAGTGTGAGGAAACGTTCGGTGAACCTTAAAGTAACCGGTAAATTTTCGTATTCAGTGACTCCGCAGGGGTTTGCTTATTATTCTGAGTTTAACATCGAAGATGATGAAACTCCTAGAGATTTTTAGCGGATTCCGGATGAATACAGGGAATTTATTGTAATAAAATTATTGGAAATGTACGTCAAGGTTGAAGACGTTTCCAATAATGAGGGCGTGCATAGTAGGGATAACCCCCAGTCATCGGGTGGTTATTCTGGAGCAGTTTTTGCGGGACAGATCGCTGATGAAAGAGCTTTCCTTGATTTAAACTTGTCACCACCGGCGAATGAGCAGCCACAGAATAATTTTTCGTCTTTATATAATCCACAAGACGACTGGTAAACTTCAATTTTTTTATGCTTTAGCGATGTTTACTTTATGTTTTAATTGGTTTGTATTAACACTCATATTTTTCATAGGCGGTACCGTCCGGATATGAATTTTACAAGTTATGACCCCGCCCCTAGTTGGAATATGCGTAGTTCTGGCGTATTGGACCACGATGGTCCATCCGGGAGTCATCACCAACAAGAAAACATCCATCATGAAACGTCAAGACAATACGACTTGTAAGTAAATTGATATAGCTATATGTAAGGTATTTATCTAGTTGGGTAGCTTATCATTTTGTTCTTTTTGTGCAGTGAAAGCGAGCATCTTGATGCTCCTGACCTCACACAGTTGGCCATAGATGACGTATTGACTCGTGATTTGGCAGATGCGCAGAGTCAGGAAGATGATAGTGATTATGACAACAATGCGGATGAGTCTGGAGATGACACCCTTCCGTGATGAGGGTGATGATGAGGAGGAAGTGAATGTTGAACCTGAGTTGACGAGGGAGCATGTTCCTCCACCTCCCGCTAGACTAAGAGTGTACGAGTCCCACGTGCCATTTTATGAACGGAATATTCCCTACCTTGATAATTTTCCAAGTATGCCGGACGCGGATGCCTCACAAGGGATGATGACGAAATTCGGTCAGCGATGTGGGATGAGTCTAGACCAGCTGTGCTGACAAAGGGCATGCATTTTCCCGATAAAGCTCGCCTAATCAGGGCTGTAAAAATCTACAGCGTAAGAGAGTGTCGTGAGATGACGGTAAGCGAGTCAACTACGGAGGTATTTAAGGCTGTATGCCGTAGATACTTTATGGGTTGTCATTGGATGTTGCATGCCAGCAAGAAGAAATCAGGGTTGTGGAAAGTGGGTAAATTTATTAGCACCCACAGATGTGAAATGGATACATTCAATGAGAATCACTTCAACTTGGATGTAGACTTGATTTCTCTTGTCTTGATTCCATATTTAGAAGTGTCCATTAGGTTCAAGATTAAAGAGTGTATTACAGCCGTCCACCAGGAGTATGGTTGCACTATAACCAAAAGAAAGGCATATCTCGGTCGCAAACATGCCTTTGAACTTATTTATGGCGACTGGGATAAGTCTTTTTCATCTCTGCCCAGGTACATGGCTGCACTGCAACACTTTAACCCCGGGACTTTTGTTGAATGGAGGCGTGAGCGGAGTCCGGACAGACCCGAATATATTTTCAACTATGTGTTCTGGTCATTTAAACCAGCAATTGATGGTTTTGTGCATTGTCGTCCTGTAATTTCCATAGACGGTACTCACGTCTATGGAAAGTATGATATTAAGCTTTTGATTGCAGTTGCAGTAGATGCCAACGGACAAATATTTTCACTAACCTTTGCCATTTGTGCCAACGAAAGCGAAGAGACGTGGACGCTTTTTTTGAACCACTTGAAGCAGCACGTTGTTAAACAACGTTCAGGTATTTGTCTAATATCTGATCGACATGGTTTTAAGTTCTATGCGGCACTTTCCTGAATGGCAGGAACCCTATGCATACCACCGTTACTGTGTGAGGCACCTGAAGGCCAATTTCCAGAAGAAATATCCTGACAAGGCCTTGCATGACTTAATGTGGATGGTCGCAACTGAGCACCAGCAGTGCAAATTCATGAGGCGCATGGAAGCGACCCGGCAAATTGATCAACGAGCATATACTTGGCTGATGGGACATGAAGTTCACATGTGGACATTGCATGGTGATGGCGGCAGACGATGGGGAGCCCTGACTATAAATGTGTCGGAGTCATTCAACGGCTTGTTGAAGTCTGCCCGTGGATTGCCTGTCACTGCCATCGTCCGCATGACATTCAAACAGAGTGCGGAGAGGTTAGTTCAAAGGCATGGAGCTGCATCGGCATTGATGGTGAAACTGGCGAAGCACACGCTCTGTGCCTTGATACTCAACGACATCAAAGAAGATCATCGGGACGGAGGTGCTCCAAAGCAGTCGATCGACTGAGCAATAATCGGGCAGCTGAGCTAGCAACTCGTCGCTGTATGGCGTCCATATGAACTACCAAATAATAATATAAAAGTGAGTATGCGCAACACAACTCAATTTATAACAAGTAAGTGTAGGTACATATTTACCTGTCCGGCCACCAGCATATCTAACACATCCCTGACAAGGGGGAGATTATGATGAGCATCAGAGCCTCGGTAGTTCCCACGCCGGAGAACCCACCTAGTAGCTAGAGGGAGAAACGGATAAGCGTCACCCGACTCTTGTGGTGGCAGAGGTGGCTGCAACGGCATGATCCGCTGCCAGGCCCAAAACTAAGATAAAAGGTTGATGTAAAATTTAAGAGTCATTTCGACCATATAGAATTCGGATTAATGAACAGAGTATTCGAAAATATTGTCACCTGTAGAAGGGGTAGAAAACCACATATGTCCACCTGGCAAAACATGCTCGCCCGGCACATAATCCGGTACAGGTATGCTAGAATAGCAGCACCCCAGCTGTACAGGGGTACCTCATCTAGCTGCTGCGGATGATGCAGAAAGCGCATACTCACTTTACTTCCTGAAGTGTTCGGGAACAAGACACCCCCAAAAAGCAGGAGCAGCGCCAACCTCGTGTACCGCTCAATATGGAGATCCTCTATCTCGCCGGTAATGTCTGGATGCAAAAACGCCATATGGTCTCTGATAGCTGACAAAGAAACGTGACTGCCCCCTCTCTATATAGCGTCACCCTGAGGTCTGTAACCAGTATACTGCCCCATCAAATCCAAATACTAGGCACGCATCATGGATCTCATGTACTGGGGCAGTGCAACGGCCCGTCCATCTACGTGCAACCCATATAAAACCTGAACATCCTCAGCGTGATGGTGGCCTCTCCAGTGGGCAAGTGAAAAGTGTGCGTCTCCGGTCGCCACCGCTCTACCAATGCAGTGATGAGAGACCAATCAAGCTGTATCCGCCCAAACTGCAAAATCATAAAGAAGCCCGTAGCCTGTAGGCGCGCGACTACGCGGGCATGGAACTGATACTGCCTCAAGAACTCCCACAAATCGTCAGGTCTCTTGGGGCGGAGAGGCTGATCTGATAGCTGTCCCTCCCATACAAAGGAGGACCTATGGTTGCCCTGCAGCACTAATAGCTGATCCTCGGCTGGTCCAGGATGCGCAGGCGGCAAGTCCATGTTGTCTACTATAATTTAGATAAAATTATTTATCTGTGTTAGTTTAATGAATTAAATAATTATTTTTATAATTGGACTGAGTAATTATCTATGGGTTCCAGGCTCGATATTTGAGGCCCGGTAGCACCAAGTTATCCTTAATTATTATGTGTGTCAATTTCAACATTTTTAGAATTTTGTTAGTTTAATAAATTAAATAATTTTTTCCCCAGCTGGACTGAGTAATTATCTATGGGTTCCAGCCTCGATATTTCAGGCCCGATAGCACCAAGTTATCCTTAATTATTATGTGTGTCAATTTCAACATTTTTAGAATTTTGTTAGTTTAATGAATTAAATAATTGTTTCCCCAGCTGGACTGACTAATTATCTATGGGTTCCAGGCTCGATATTTGAGGCTCGGTAGCACCAAGTTATCCTTAATTATTATGTGTGTCAATTTCAACATTTTTAGAATTATGTTGGTTTAATGAATTAAATAATTATATTTATAATTGGACTGAGTAATTATTTATGGGTTCCAAGCTCGATATTTGAGGCTCGATAGCACCAAGTTATCCTTAATTATTATGTGTGTCAATTTCAACATTTTTAGAATTTTGTTAGTTTAATAAATTAAATAATTATTTTTATAATTGGACTGAGTAATTATTTATGGGTTCCTGGCTCGATATTTGAGTTAATTTGACAATATATATTAATTTGTTAGTTTTGTAAGTTTATTTTTATAAATTAAATAATTAATTTTGTAAAGATTAATTGGATAGAGTTTGTAGTTAGTACATACTTAAACTACAAAGACTATACGCTAAAAGACTCTATATTATACTACACTAAAAGGCTCTATATTTTACTATGCTAAAAGGATCTACATTTTACTACGTCTTAAGTCTCTATATTTTACTACGCGAAAAGGCTCTATACTTTACTACGCTAAAAGGCTCTATATTTTAATACGCTAAAAGGCTCTACATTTTACTACGCTAAAATGCCACTATTACATATAAAAACAACAAACATAACATATGAACAACAAACTAAATAAATAATATTCGTTTATTATTTAAGAAAATAAAAATATAACATTAACAATAAAAATTATTTATCAATTTTTAACTATTTTTTGTCCCAAAGCTAATAAATCAATCCGGGTATAAATAAGATACAAATTTAAACACAAACATAACACAAATTCACATGAAAACACATTCAACAAAATAAATATGCATATACTCTGCGAGTTTCGACATAAACAAAATCGAAATACCTCGATTTAAGTTTTTTGAAAATGATCCAAATCGATTTTTCGAACCCGAAAGAAGGAATCCAAGGCTTGTGCTATGTGTGGGACCTACACTCTTCGCTTTTTGGGTGACGGGTAGGGCCCAAATTTTTTTTTTTAATTTAATTTCGTCGCGGGGGGAGGGGGGGGGAGGGGGGAGGGGGGAGGGGGGGAGTGATAGGTCGGGATTTTAACATGTTTTATGCCCCTACTTGCCTATGCTTTGGTTATAAATTGCTACAAAATATTCCCAAAATGCTCACAAATTGTACTTGATTGCAGGTTTGATCGACAAAGCGACGAATGTCAAAGAACGGCTAAAAAAGGAGTGAAACCTGCTCAAGTGTGAAAGACTAAGTAAATTGAGGAAAAGAGAACCTAGTGCGGACCGTGCAAACGTGAATGCGGCCGCACTAGGAGGTTCAGAGAGTTGGCATTTTCAAGCTGGAAGCAACGCGGCTGCACTACTCTTTTGTGCGGTCCGCGGTCAGGCTCCGCGGCCGCGCTACTCTTTTACGTGGTCCGCGGAGTAGAGATTCAGAGAGCTCACATTTTGCCAATTCCAAGCAATGCGGCCCGCGCTCGTTTTTGTGCGGCCGCGCCAACTTCCACCGCGGCCGCGGTACACTTTCACGCGGTCCGCGGTCCTCAAGTTCGGAGAAGCATAAATTGAAGTCCAAGAGCCAGTGCGGCCGCGGTCCATTTTGCGCGGCCCGCACTGACCCCGTAGGGGGATTTTTGTCCAGTTTTTCCAGCCTAGTATAAATAGGACATTTTACCATTTTTAGGTCAAGTTTTATATTCCAGACTTAGCTGCGCTCGTGAGACTCACTTTTGTAGCCATTTTCGGCACTTCTGCTCTTCATTAACGATATATTATTGTAGCTTCTTCTTAGTAATCAATTAATATGCTTATTTCTTCATCTGTTTCTTCAATTTCTGTATCTAGCATGAGTAGCTAAACCCATTAGCTAGGATTGTGGCTCAACCCTAGTGTGGATAATTGATGGGTGTTGCCATTTAAGGTTAGATTGATTATGGGTGTTTGCTATTTGGGTTGATTTTATGTTTTTATTTAAGAATTGGTGGTTGCAAACACTGATTCAAGCTTTGTGGGTTTGACTCTTCTTGAGAAAGAGAGTCTATGACACCAAAATTGACCCAACAAGGAATTGGGATGGACTCATGAGAAATGATAGTCCCAATTAACGGGTTAAATCTCGAGAGAGTAATCACCCCACTTGAACCCTAGTTTCTTGATCTAATTGGCCTACCCAATTGGTCTTGAGAGAGTCAATTGGGCAAAATCACTCTCTCTATCGAGAAGTGTGAGAGTGGGTACAATTGTGCAACGGTTATAGCATAAGCCGGCCGAGGTGGAAACTCAAGAGGTCGTGAAGCCGTCTAGGGAGCACATAATTGACATGCCGGAGCCGGTGGTGCCAAAAGTCAAGGCACCTTTGCCTAGACCACCTCAACCTTACCCTCAGCGGTTAGAAAAGCAAAAGAGTGACAATCAGTTTAAAAAATTCATAGATATGATGAAAAGCTTTACAATCAATGTGCCTTTGGTGGAGGCACTTGAACAAATTTCCGGGCTATGCAAAGTTCATGAAGGATTTGGTCACAAAGAAGCGTTCCATGGATTGTGAAACAATAAAGATGACTCACCAAATCAGTGCGATAGTGCATTCTATGGCCCCAAAACTTGAAGACCCTGGAGCTTTTACTATCCCTTGCACTAACGGTGTGCGGAGTTTGCTAAGGCCCTTTGTGACTTGGGGGCTAGCATTAATTTGATTCCTTATTCAGTCTTCAAGACTTTGGGAATTGGGCAACCTAGGGCAACCTCAATGAGACTTCAAATGGCGGACCGGTCGATGAAGCGGCCTTTGGGTATAATTGATGACGTACTTGTCCGAGTGGCCAAATTCATATTGGCAGCCGACTTTGTCATATTGGATTGTGAAGTAGACTTTGAAGTCCCAATTATTCTTCGGAGACCTTTCCTAGCAACGGGGAAGGCCTTGGTTGATGTTGAAGCGGGTGAGTTGACATTCCAAGTGGGAGAAGAGAAGGTGGTATTCCATGTTTGCAAATCAATGAGACAACCCAATAGCACGGAGGTGTGTTCATTTGTGGACATCGTCACAGCTGTGATAGTGGATGACACAAGTTCCATGATAAATATTGAAGTTCCTCTTGAGGCCGTGCTTCTTAACATGGATGTCGATGATGATGCTAGTAGAGTGGAGTGCGTGAATGCATTGCATGGTATGGGTTCATATTCATATGAGCCTAGGAAGTTATCTTTGGATCTTGAAAACCGCAAAACTCCACCAACTAAGCCATCCATTAAGGAGCCACCGGTGTTGGAGTTGAAGCCACTTCCTCCACACCTCAGGTATGAATTTTTGGGCTCTAATTCAACTCTTCCAGTTATTCTTTCTTCTTGCCTTACTAACCTGCAGGTTGAGGCCACTTTGGAAGTGCTTCAAAGGCGAAAAAGGGCAATAGGATGGACTCTGGCGAACATTCGGGGAATAAGCCCCGCATTTTGCATGCATAAAATTATCTTGGAGGATGATACAAGGCCTTCCCTAGAACATCAAAGGAGGCTAAATGAAGCGATTCAAGAAGTGGCAAAGAAAGAGGTTATCAAGTGGCTTGACGCCGGTGTGGTTTATCCAATCTCCGATAGCTCATGGACTTCCCTGGTCCAATGTGTGCCAAAGAAAGGAGGGATGACGGTGGTGACCAATGACAACAATGAGATTATTCCTAATCGAACCATTACCGGGTGGAGAGTTTGTATGGACTACCGGAAACTCAACAAGGTGACCCGCAAGGATCATTTTCCCTTGCCATTCCTCGATCAAATGCTTGATCGCCTTGCGGGGCGAGCGTTCTATTGTTTTTTGGATGGGTACTCGGGCTACAATCAAATCTTAATTGCCCCGGAGGACCAATAGAAGACCACTTTTACATGCCCCTATGGTACATTTGCTTTCTCCCGGATGCCCTTCGGGTTGTGCAATGCTCCAGCGACTTTTCAACGTTGCATGATGGCTATTTTCACCGACATGGTGTAAGACATATTGGAGGTCTTTATGGATGACTTTAGTGTGGTTGGTGACTCTTTTGAAGAACGCTTGGTAAATTTGGATAGAGTCTTAGCCCGATGTGAAGAAACTAACCTTGTTCTCAATTGGGAAAAATGCCATTTTATGGTCGAAGAAGGTATAGTGTTGGGTCACAAGATTTCTAAGCATGGGATTGAGGTAGACAAGGCGAAGATTGAGGTGATTTCAAGGCTCCCTCCCCCTACTTCTGTCAAAGGGGTGAGGAGTTTTCTTGGGCATGCCGGGTTCTACCGGCGGTTTATCAAAGACTTCTCGAAGGTTGTGAATCCCCTTTGCAAATTGCTAGAGAAAGATGCCAAATTTGTTTTTGATGAAAAATGCATGGAGGCTTTTGAACTTTTAAAGCACAAGTTGACCACTACCCCTATCATAACCGCACCTAATTGGAGTTTACCCTTTGAACTAATGTGTGATGCTAGTGACGTTGCAGTGGGGCGGTGTTAGGTCAATGTGGTGGTGGAAGAAATACAATACAATTGTCACACCTCCTTCTGTCACTACACCCCCGTAAAGGGGTATAATTAAGGGAGTTTTTCCAATTAAAGGACAATCGAAACGGGATTATTATTAAAAGA